ACCTACCTACCTACCTACCTACATACTACCTACCTACCTACCTACCTACATACTCACTCATGATCATGTAGACATATATCTGCTTGGTTCTACTAACACTACTGTCAACCATATTTCCAAACTATCAAACACTTTTTTTACCACTGCAAGGTAAGTGGGTCTAGTTTTATAATTGAATAATTTTATCCATGCTTTTACCTTGAACTTTATGATAGCTCCTGCTACTAGAACAGTAAAACTGTAGATAGCATCACCAATAGTGTGTAGAAAAGCAGCTTTAACGTTGATGTTCTCTTCTCCATGATTATGGCCGTGGCTGTGGTTATGACCCATACCGCTCAGCATGAATGCAAGGCTGAAACAAAATCACCCTTAATTTGTCTAGTTATTCAGTCGACGCCTTTTTGATATCAGTTTATCAGTTACTCACATGATGCAAGCTCCACATGTAAGCCCGGCTGTTATCATCATGATGTCAGCATTCACGTGATCTGAGTGCCCATGTGCCACGGATCCTGTAGCTATTCTAAGAATTGCTTCGTACACAAGCACTCCGGTCAGCAGCCATAGCGTCAATATTACTGAGCACGCGCCAAGAATTTCTGAAAGACATTCCGATCAGTCAGTTAACGTATAAACTGCAGGTGACAGATAATACTCTTTGTATAGACGATGAACCGCAGCATGAGAAACGTGCCGTATGTGCAGTTTTCTAGGTTATTTGGAGAAACGTGTATGTCCAAAAGCAAGGACACACGGTGCAAAATTGTGCGCAATATTGCAGACAATGTTGCTGGACTAGGATAGTTTTGTTGTTCATGAACATCGTACAGAACAAATTGCGTAATGTGACTTGGCTCGCAACATCAATTGGCTGCAGTATTGCACGTAATCAGTATAATTGTACCGCGTGTCGCAGCTTAAAATGACTGAKTACGTATATGAATTATGAAAGCAAGTACTATACAATCATTTCCCCAGCTTCTCTAACTACATTTTCTCCAGTACCTGCTCTGAAATATCCATAGGTTTTTCTGTCATTTGGTTTCCAGCTCGAAATCCAGGCAGCTGCTAAACTCATCAGTAGACTGTTCARATCAAAGATCTGATGAAGTGCATCATTCAGTACAGCTAAACTATTAGCTATAAAACCACCTGCCAACAAAAGACATCCAAAATATTATGTATTCTAGTTTCCTAGTGGTTCAGTATTTGGGTCTAGTTATTACTGCAGTAACACTCTCCCTTCCCCCCCTTTCCTTCCCCAACCCGGGCCCCCCGACTCCTGGGATTTAATGTGGTGCCGGATACCGACTGTAGTTTTTTAACTCACATAACAGCGTAAATGAACAGGGAGAAGGGGTCATATTTTAATCGTGTATTTYATTAAGTGGAGTTACTAAGGTGGAGATTTTACTAACTGGACTGGAAGTCAGGCGCCRATAAACTCTCAGTCTGTTGCCTGAATGCGGAGGACTGGGTTCTACCTCTCATACCTGCTCTAAATTGCGGAATTAATTGACGTATCTTGTCGTCAATGTGGTGGATATTTTATTAAATATCATAATTTTCGTTTTACTTCAGTAAAACTGAGTTTAACGCAATGAAAAGGGTATGCCCAAGTGAAGGCATTTATCTGTCTCCAAGACTGTGGCCAGTCTCCAAAATTTCTAATCAAGACAATTAAAATGCATAAAAAGACTGTTTGCTAAAGGGTCTGATTGAAACGTCCGTGTATAAATAAAGATATCTATCTATCTATCTATCTATCTGTCTCTTATTATTTTATACATATTTTTGTAATTATAAAACATATATTTACCATTTTCATGTGTTTACCATAGCAGCTCAATAGGTACTCCAACGGAGAAAAATGAAGGATTAATCGTACGGCTCTAAACCAATTAGAATCGAGTACATKTATTGAGTATGATGTAGGAAAACTAAGCAGAGCGCTCCATACGTTGAAAAAAACTAACAATACTTTTAATTTTAACTATTTTTTTCATTTGCTTGCATTATTTAGACGACTACCTTAACCTTCAAATAAAACGTTTAGTTTTAATGTCAATATCTTTGATTTACCGTCATTTTTTATGAAGGCTCCTCGTGGTTAAACTGATCCAAAACAACCTATCGTACGAATAAACATCCTTAATCACAAGACGAAATTAGAAATAAGTTCCAAATATAACGGCATTAAACGGCAGGAGATATCATGCCGGCAATGATCATGATACAAATGCATTTCTTATATTAGATACTTTTGTATTGTTCAGTCAGTGGTCCAACCGACACAACGCTARAAAAATGGTCACATTTAATCTTAATGCAAAATGAAAACAAGGATTAAGAATAAAGCAGCAAAAAAGAGGACGAAGTTTTAGAGAAAAGCGATTTTGAATCGGCAATAATACTCGGTGAGTTATAACCGTTAAAGTACACTACTTCTTTTTTAGTAGGTGATGTAATGACTTTTAGGTATATCATTCAAATCAATACCATTCAGTGAGGTCTCGTTTGATAAAGATGAATGAAGAACAAAGACTCTCAGTGGATATAACTAAGTATTGACAGACGGTGAGGCGAGCTATAGCTAGAGACTGTATRATTACTATATAGTGTAGTCTCCAATGATGGGAAATCCATCCACGTCATCCAGCTGTTACTACATTAGGTTTAGGGCTGGAAGCCGTTTAAACGATAACCACTTGCACTTCCTATACACTTTGATTCTTTTAAAATCTCGTATTTAAGACGGATGTATGAATTCCTTCTGCCTTGGAAACAGTTGTTTTTGATTCAAGGTCTTCAAAGAGAGTAAAAAGATTTTTTCATGGTCATAGTATTCTCTTGTCGAATGTTCCGAATGGCCCGCGACTGATGAGAATCGCAAGGTGGAAAGGATCAAAATTAAATAGTTTAAATGATACATTAATGACATTTGGGATTTTCTGTGTCGCATTATTTCAAGTAAAGAATGAGATGGGAGCTGACTAATGACCATCAAGACTAATCTACTTTGTACTATTGACAACCACTAATTAAAAGTCATATTTGTGTGACTGAAGAAATTCAAACTTCCTCCATAAAAATATCAAAATAGAAAGAAAAAGAAAAAGAAAAAAAGAATTTCTCTTAAATAAGGCGGTGATAATGTTAGAGACTGACGTATTACATCGCTTAATTAGGCCGTAGTTATAGTGGTGATGGTTGCTGTTTGTTTTAAGATCATAAAACATCAAAACATTTCTTTCGCGTTGACATAAAAATGAACTCCGTGGTCGATCATGAATGGCTAAGTTAAAGCGTTAGAAACATAAATTGAATAAAACGTTTTTGTCAATGAATATGTGCCTGAAATTTTAAATTACTACTTGTCTTTCGAGCGAGACAAACGTATCGGTAAATGAAAAAGCTGTAGAATAATAACACACTCACTATATATACATCACAACTAAATGAAAGTAACTCATAAAGTTGAAGCTATGAATTGTAATTATAGTTATCAAATAAACAAACCTAGTGCATGTCTACACTAGAATCTCACCGGTTATCTCACAGATTATGAAAAACACGCAAAACAGAATAGCGACGATCAATCTTTTTCTTCCATCCCGAAGTTCGCTCTTCGGAGGCTGACAAACAAACCTACAAGGTGGTTCTTCGACGTCAGAGACAATCTTGGTGTATTCTCGTGTCTTTGCTTTCTTCTTCATATCAAACATACCGTCTCTGTTCTTCTCTAATTCGCCCGGCAAAGACGAAGGGATAATACAAGTTTTCGAGTCCACAGGAGTAAACATACAATGCGGGTACTAAAATCTGAAACTTCTGTTATCAACCAATCAGGGACGAGAATGTATCCGTTGTGTGCTCAGATGTGTAAATAGCCGGCTTTTGGAATGACCGAAAGCCCTTTTAGAGGGACTCTTTTTAAAAAAACACTTTATTTGGATTTGTAAAGATTAATGTTTAATCAGACTGGCWGGCGCGTTAGCTCTTCTGATTTTAACAAAAGGAGTGAATATAACTGAAAATAAATACAAATAGGATAGGACTAGGAAAAAAGACTTGCTTTACTACATATAATATTGTTTCCTTGATTCCAGTTATATCTGAGAAAATCTAGACAAATTCTAGATAAGATAATCAACCATAGATAAACTATAAAATGCTATAAAATGTTGATTATATCTATTTYCTTTGGAAAGAGAAGTTTCGTAAAACATTCGAGTAGTAAAGTGTGACTTTGAAATGGCTTCCCTTGTCATAAATTGAAGAAATAGAAAACGTTCGCGCGTGCTGTGTGCTGTTATGAAGCAGGCGGGGATAGGTAGCACGACTCGTAGCGGAGGAGTGCTTCTCGACACTTTCGAGTGTTCTGCCAATCCCCAAGTGCTTTGTAACTMCACACAGCACAGTGAGCAAGTTTTTTWTTTCTTTTATGAAATATACGGGCGCGTGCGTGCTGTGTGCTCTCATTGAACATTTTTTATTTCTTCACTGCCGGTAAATCTTTGCAATAATAAAAAAATTATTTGCTCAGTGCACTCAATGATACTTGGATCTATAACATTTCAATGACGACCCATTACGAAAGCTGATGGCAGACTTTTTAAACCGGTATAATATTTTACGGAAGTAAAAACCATTCTATAGATAATTTAAAAAAAAAAAGTAGACGAGGAAAGTTGCAATGTCAGTCCTTTCCAGAATCTTTAAAACTTTGACAATTCCGTTTCGCTGCCCAATGAAGACTTAAGCTTCAAAGTGTAAGATTCTGAGGTGGCTCTTGTTAAGGTAGCAGACAGAGTAGTGTCATCATCATCATCATCACTGCTATCATCACTGCTATCATCATTTTTTGACGAGGATTCCACAACAGTTTTCAATTCATCAGGTTTGATATAGTAGATCAACTCATCTTCTTCCCTGTAGAAGTCATTCATATCTACATCTCCCAGAATCCCTTTCAGACCACTCGGTCCTCTAGGCAAATCCAGTCTTCGTTCCCCGCCCTTTTTGTCCTTGAACACAGTCTTCTCGGTACCRGGCATACCCGGTAGATACGAGAAGGTCATACGGGATGTTCTATTCCATAAGTCAGTGTAATGTTCAGGAAGAGATCGTCCACGGACRAGAGCAAGAGCTCGTTCGTAAGCAGTTTTGTAAGACGTCATGCACTCATGATTGACAAAYGGTCCTGTWGGCTKAAAACRAGTTTTTTCTTTCAGTTTCGAAGCCTTTTCACGCAATTCTGAGGTTCTTAGTAGTCGAGGYAGCTTCTTATAATAATCTTGCGATCTTTTCTTCATGGAGAATGTTGGTGAATGTTTGCAGTATTTGTTGTTGTGAGCCCCTCCGATTTCTGAAACACCATCTTCAAGTTCCTCTCCATTGCTCAAGAGCGATTTGTTAGCAAAAGAAGATCCATCATACGAGTAATCTTCTGAACCCTCTTCAAAGTCGGAACTGTATAGTGAACCAGCTTTTCTATTTCTTCTATAGTCCTTTGAGTTTCTTCCTTGAAGTGACATTTTCGATGCTCCTTCGAGTGACATCTTGCTCAGCAACTCGCTTAAACGACGATCTTCATCATCCATTCCATCCAGTGAAGAATCAATTTCTCCCCTGCCTTGGACGTCTGGGGAAGAAAGGTCTAATTCAATATCRCTCATACCCAGTTCACCTTCTGTTTTCCTCGCTTCGCGTCTTGCACGTCTGCGCTCTCGTCTTAGTCTCTCTCCATGGCTATCGCTTTCGTAATCTGTGACGTCACTAAATTGAACTTTACTCTGCTTCGAGTTTCGTTTGGCGTTCTCGCTATCTTTGGAGGGCGAAGCACTGACACGTCCTTGCTGTTCTTCGAGCCTTGTCTTTTCTTCTGRTTTGAAATCAAACTTGTAGTCTTTGTATTCAGTATCGAAGCTCAATCCTTTGATTTGTCTGGACGTTTGACTAACTAGTTTTTGGAACTCATACAATTGACGTGTGTTGCCAAAGTTGTCATCAAAATCAAAGTTCATGGGACTTGCTAGCATTCTACGTCTTTCTTCCTCTTCTTGTTCTCTTAGCTTCATTAAAAGACGATCATTGTAGACTCTCTCACTCATCAAATAGTAGCTCTCTCGTCGACGTGGTGCCCAACGCACCTGAAATCAAATAGGAGACAAAACTTGTGAGCTGATTGGATGGTTGGCAGCTGATATACTGCAACCACGTCACGTGACCAGTATATTCACTTGTCTGTAGCTGCTGCTACGTTAGTCTGAAATAGCTATTCATACTCAAACAACAATATTAGCAAAGTTAACGTTGATAAACTGAGTCGCAACAAAGAAGATGATCTACATCAGACCCGGGTGGTCATAGCTGATCACAGTGCATGATTTTACAGTATGAATATCATACGATGAAGGAACATGCCAGATAAGGAACCTCATGGTTTTACAGTATGAATATCATACGATGAAGGAACATACCAGATAAGGAACCTCATGGTTTTACAGTATGAATATCATACGATGAAGGAACATACCAGATAAGGAACCTCATGGTTTTACAGTATAAATATCGTACGATGAAGGAACATACCAGATAAGGAACCTCATGGCTTTACAGTGTAAATATCGTACGATGACGGAACATACCAGATAAGGAACCTCATGGTTTTACAGTATAAATATCGTACGATGACGGAACATACCAGATAAGGAACCTCATGGTTTTACAGTATAAATATCGTACGATGAAGGAACATACCAGATAAGGAACCTCATGGTTTTACAGT